ACAAGACCTTTTATGATCTGACCTCTGTCTCATCTCTTGTCACATGTGCCCCATGCTCCAAGCAATATGGTCTATTTAAGAGCCCTACTCTCTTGAGCCTCAGTGGTTTTGCTCTGCCCACTTTGTGCTCTGTCCTCAGCACCTCCCTGTCCTTGACTTCATTAATTCCAACCTGTCTTTTAAGACTCAACACAGACAACTCCTCCTCTGGGAAGTCCTCCCTAACCCTCTGGTGTTCCTCCTACACATTCCATGGTTTCCTTAACCTCACAGATCTCCATTTCCATGCTCATCATGATGAGCTGTGTTGCTTTGCTCACAGTCTCTCTGCCCTACTTACTGATCATGAGTACTCTTATTCAAGGTCATGAGCTTTGGGGAGAGAAATATGGGCTTTCAGTCATTTCTTACCTCCAGTCCTTAGCCAATTGTTCAGGAGAGTTAATACTTGAGTAAATGTTAGCTCCCTTCACTTCTCATCACCACCCCTCCCAATTCCTTAAAACTGTTACACAGCAGTTTGGAAGTGACCCAGACAGCCATTCACATAATATATAAATTGTAGACTACTCATGCAACAAAATACTATGTGGCAATGAGAAGAATAAACTACTGCTACACACAGCAGCATCATGCAACTCACATGCACAAGGTCGAACAAAAGAAGCCAGGCCTGGAAAAGTACTTTCCATTTCTGTGAAGGTCAAAACCAGGCAAAATGAATCTGTGGTGACAGAGGCCAGATGGTGGTCATCTCCAGGTCAGGGGGGATTGGCTGGGAGTGGGCGTGATGGAGCTTCCCAGAGGGCTAGAAATGTTGCCAACTAGATCTGGGTGATGATCACACAGGTATGTACATGTATAAACATTAATCAGCTGGACTTTTTGTGCACTTGAAAGCAGATAGCTTTACCTCTTTTTTTTTAAGTGCTCTAGTTTTGCAGTAGATCATCATGGATAACAAACCTCTGTCTGAGAGTCACTTCCTACTACAAAGTCCTCTGATTTTTGGTGGTGATACTGAAGCTCAGAGAGGGTAAACTATCAGCTGGAACTGCCCAGCAAGTTTGTGGAGAGCCCACACCCTAAGAAAGGGACTGCATGTCCTGCTTTTCCCATGCAGCTGAAGGCTCCTCAGGGGCAGGCTCTGTGTCTCTGGCATAGAACTCTGTGACCTCCAAATATTGGTGGGGGGCTACCCCCAGTTCATAACTAGTTGCCGCTGGGATGGTGAAACATGGTAGGTGTGGTCATCAAGAGCACAAACTCGAAAGGCACAATTCTGTAGCTGCATGAGCTTAATCCCTCTGTACCTCAGTTTCCTCACGTGCACAATAGGATAATAGTACCTATCTTACAGTCTTCTGAGGACCAGATGGGTGCCTAAGCATAAAGAACTTAAAACAATGCCTGCCTCCAAACAAGTACTCTATATGTGTTTAATATAAAAATTGTTATTAGGGGAAAACCCAGACAGACAGACCAGAGTTCAACTCTGCTCCTCCACTGGTTGTGTTACCTCAGGCCAATCAATCAACCTCTCTAAGACTCCATTTCCTCATTTATTAAACAGAGATAATAATACCTAAACTGCAGGGAAGAATCCCTTCGCACCCACCCTTCTCCTCCCCAGTAGCCTCTTCCTGGTGCTGGTGGATAGCAGCATCTAGTGGACAGCTCTGGAACTGCATGCTGGCCAAGTGCCACTTGCCAAACTGCTGTGCAGTCCTTTAAACAAACCTTTAAAAATATGCACTCTGCATTGGACAAGTATTCATTAGGTACCTGCTGTGTACAGGACACAGATACAGAACCTAAAGAAAATGAAGCAAGAGATGCAAGATGACTGTAGAAGGGCACAAGAAAAAAATCACAATTATAACCTTATGATCAATACCCTAATTTTTTTATCTTAAAGAAGATATAAACACTACATAGGGGTATTTGGCACACTGGGACAGTGTCTTCTCAGGAAGTTTTTACAATTGCAGGAATGATTTTGGAAGGGCTGTTTCATGTCAATGACACTCAGTTAAGACCAAAGCAATGAAATGAAACCTTAGGTCAGAAGGTGATGCTCCCAGGGTAGCCTGACTTAGCTTTCCAGATTCTCCATGGAGACAAGGAGCAGGAGTGTATGGCTCCAAAGCCCATATTCTCCCAGCACAGTTCACTGCTCCTCCCCCAGACATAAGAGAGGGAAGAGGGTCTAGAGGTGGCACGGATCAGTCCAACTGGGGGAATCAAAGAAGCCTTCATGAAAAAGGTGGCATTTCAAATGAGCTTTGGAGAATGGAGATAGAGAAAGGGGTAGGAGGCTAGGGAAGGAAGGGCATTCCAGTTTGATGGGCCACACCGTGGATAAAGTAAAGTAATAGGGATAGATTAGACAGGAGGATTAGGGCCAAATCAGAGGGGGGCCCAAATGATAGACTGAGGAAGCTGCATTTAATAAAAGCAGGGGGGCCACTGAGAAAGAACATAATCCAATCCAAGGAGATCAGAGAAAAAGTAGAGATACAGAAATATCTCTATTAAGTGGTTACTGCAATAGTCCAGATGAGATGCTGTGGGTACCAAATCCTGATGGAGAGGATACAACAGATATTGGTGAAGAGGTGAAGGTATTGAAGCAGGAGGAGGTTCAGAAACAGATAGCAGTGGGTCAAATGGAAAAACATGTGAGAATTCAAGGTGCTCAGTCTTGAGGAGGTAATGGGGAGAAAGACAGAGCTGCATCCAGACTGGGGACTTGACCAGGGGTACCAATATGGGCAATAAGTGGAGAAATGAGCTTGGTCTTCAACAGGAAAAATATGAGTTGTCAGCATCTACTTGGAAATATGGGGCCAAAGCTCAGAAGAGGGGCTGGGCTGGAGGGAGAAAACGTCGACAGTCATGTGGGAGTCACCTATGCAGATGCAAGCTGAAGACTTGGGAGAGGGAGACAAAGGACATGTGGGGGCAGAAGGTAGATACCACCTGGACATCCGTGGGCTCCCTTTTTTTAAAGCCTCTTGAGGACAGAGGAAGCTGAGGAGGCCCAGAAAACAGAAGAGACCTTTACGGAAGATTACTAGGAAACCTTGGGGAGCATGCAGCAGTGCCCCAGGTCCGAGAGAGGCCAGGGTTCGGGGAGGCTGTTAGGCAACCATCGGATTTGTGGTTGGGGGTTGTCATGAGTGACCCTGGGAAAAAAAGCAGTTTCTAGGGCAGACGTTAAGCCGCAAAGATTTAAGAGGCAAGAGCCAGAGGGTATGGGGGCCCCTGAAGCTCCCAGGAGGAAGGAGGTGATGGTGAGCAGGGCTGGTCTAGGATGATGCAAGCTAGGAACTTGGGAACAAAATTTAAAGAGGCACCCGCTCTCAGGGTCACACAGGTGTCAGAACAGCAGGCCCCAGGGCTGTCCGGAGATAGAGGCCCAGGGAGAGAGACCCTCTGAGACAAAAGGAGAGGAGATAACCCAATAAGAGAACTTAGAGACCAGACAAAAGCCAAGAACCTTCAACCTCACATCCTGAGACACACAGTAGCTTCTGGCAGAGCCTCGGAGGACACGAAGGCAGGGGAATGGAGGGGTTGGAAGAAGGATGCACACTTACAATCTGGGAGCAGGGGCTAGGGACACTGATGAAGATCTGGAGACCTGGGGTGGCAAGGAAACCAGGGAGGATGCATCCTAAGGGAGACTGAGCTTCCCTCCTGACCCAGTGAGTGCTGGGGGGAGGGGAGTCCCAGCATCCCTGGGGTCAGCCTGAGAAAAGCAAAGGGTTCAACTCTCTACCGTTTCCCCAGGCTATTTCAAATCCAGGGAATCTTCTGGCACTCCACACCAACCCCAGAACACTGCAGTACATGCTTCCTTTCCCCAGAAAGGCTGGCAAGTTTCTGCTTCCTAGGACTCAGTTTCTGCAGTGGGCTGAACAGTGGTACCCAAAAAGATATGTCTGTGTCCTAACTCCCCTCCCTCCAGGACCTGTGAATGCGACCTTATTTGAAACAAGGGTCTTTGAAGATGTAATTATATTAAGGCTGTCAGGATGAGATCATGCCAGATTATGCAGGTGGGCCCTAACGTGTCCTTGTAGGAGACATTAGAGGGCAAGGCCATGTAAGAGGAGGCAGAGACCAGGAGAATGCAGCCACAGCCTGAGGAACACTAGGAGCCTCCTGAAGGCAAGGAAGGGAATCTCTCCAGAGTCTTCAGAGAGAGCACGACCCTGCCCACACCTTAATTTTGGACCTCGGGCTTCCAGAACTCACAGAATAAACTTCTGTTGTTTTTAAGTCTCCAAGTTTGTGGCATTTTGTTACAACAGCCCTAGGAACCAGAGTTTCCTATTATGTAAAATGAAAAGTTTCTGGAGATCCTCGCTGATTCTCCAAATTAAACCATTTAGCAAGGAGGGGAGTTCCAGGTCTAGCCAAAAGGTGTGTTTTTTAACTCACCGCCCTGTCCCCTTCTAGATTGAGGTTTAATACTTTTCACTTGAGTGGGGAAGAGGGAAGCCAAATAACTGCATTACCTCCCACCCCTCAGAGAAGGAGAGTCCGAAAAGAGTTATATCATGATCCACCGCTCCTTCCTCCTTCACCCAGAGGTCACACCATCCCGCCCAGGGTTGTGGAAAGGGCCAAAGCTGCCCTGCACCACGAAACCAAAAGTAAGGCGCATTTCAAAAACAGTCCACCTTTCTGAATTTCTCCTTGCGAACATACCCCCTGTTCACAGCGACTCTCCCCACCGCTCATGTCTGCCTTCTTTCTCCGCCTTCCCCATTCTTGGGGGGCAAGAGAAGAGGGATACCCCTGAAGCACGGGAATGGAAGGCACTCTCCCCGCCCTGCCCCCTCCTCCCCACAACACAGCTGGAAGGGGGAGGGGAGGTCAGCAGGGTTCATAAAGGCCAGATGTTGAGGAGAAAGAGAGCAGTGCCCAACCCACGCCCACCCACTCCACCCCCGCCCTTACCCCCAACGAAAGAAAAATTAAGAGACGGCTTTTAAAACAAAACTTTTAAGGTTCAAAACAGTTTCTCTCAAGAATCTGCTCTATGCAAACAATAAATTTTTACAAAGCGTTTTCACAGAAAAGGAGACAAGTCCTTCCCCAATATCGTTATGTGGGAATTGTTCCTCCCTTGCCCCGTTTGAGGGGAAAAAGGGTGTTATTCACTAGTGTAGGAAGAAGGGCAGTTGGGTCCTTCAATTGTTTGGCAGATCCTCAACCTCCAGGTTCCTCTCACACGTAAGAACTAACCTCCCCTGACCTCACCTGGCGCAGGAGACTGCGATTCCAACCCTTCTCTGACTAGGGAACCCTTCCAGCTGGAGGGTGTGGTCCACGCCTCTCTCTCCCCTCTTCCTCTGGAAAACAGAACCTCTGACCTCAGAACTAATCCCCCGGCCCTGCCCCCTTCGGATCCATCAGGTCCCTGACAGCTCCTGAAATGCCTGAAGTTAGGGGGGGAAGCCAAAGGTACCTCAGCCCCGCTCCCATCCAAACCCCATTTTGTCCCTTCAAGCCCTACTGGACCTTTGGGATTAGGCCAAGAGCACCTTAGTTTACCTCTCCACAAAAAGCGGCTTGTCTTATCTCTAGCCTTTGAGGGAGCCCAGTTTGGGTGTCCAAAGAATGGACCCAGGCCTGCCCTGTAACCTCCCGGCCTGCCATCCATACACATCGGTGGAGAGGCCCTCGAAAGGCAACTTGTTTGGTCTGATTTTATTGATTTCTTCCACCTTCCATTACTTTCCCTGGGACAGTCTCTGACCCCATTCCCAGGCAAAATCTGCGTTTTTGGAGGGAAGGAGATCCCTCAGTCCTGCCCCTCCTAATATGAGGCGTAAATTGAGGGAAGGGGCTGATTTATTGAGGGGGGGGGGTCCTCTTTTACCCAGCAGACAGTATAAACTGAAAACAAACAGGGAAAACTGAAGAGGGAGGCTCCAAAACTGGACAAAAGGGAAAGCTTGGTGGCTGAGACTGAAGACACTGCGAATTAGGGGTTGGGTGAATTGAGGGGCGTTAGGAAAAGAACAGGGAGGGGGTGATCTTCTCCTTCCCCTAGCTGCCCCTCCCCCATGAAGGCTCCGGTGACGCTTGGAGCGCTGGAGAAGGCCTGAGGGGAGTGAAGGGTTAAAGGCCTGGATGGTGGGGGGTGGGGGATGCCCCCAGGGAGCTGCCAATCACCTCCCCACCCCCACACAGCCCCCTTATCCCTAGGCTCCCCCACAGAAACAACCGGTTTGTCCGTCACCAAGGTCTCTCTCCCTCTTTTTTTTTTCCTTGTCTTTGAGCGGTAGCCTCCTTTGCCACCCCTGGGGTGAAGGCCCTGCCCCCAGAGATCCGAGATGGAAGAGGGGAGGGATTGGAATCTATGTCATTAAGCCTTTTTCCGTTAAGCCTTCTCCTGACTCCAGCCCTTGGTTCCTCTCCAAAGAATGAGGGGGAGGGGGTGTCACCCCTACCAGTTAGGTGCTTGAAGATCACTGTCAATTCAGGTCCCTCTGACCACAGCCCATAAAACAGAGAGGGAACAGGCAAATGTGGGAAAGAGCCCTGTCCTCGAGCCCGCAGTTTGGCTGTGGCCCCAACATTTCCCCCTTGGCAGAAGAGATCTCACGCTCAAAATTCCTCCAAGTTAATACCCCAGAATTTGAGGCCCGGGGGCTCAGGTACAGCAGGACCCCCAATCTGCCATCGCCACAGAGGGTGGGCAGGCGGGGGCTTAGAGTCTCCCTGGAGACGAAGCGAGGATGCCGGCCCTAAGTCTCCGTCCTCGCCCACCACCAGGGCCGGGGGGCAGGGGAAGCAGTCGAGGAGGCTGAAGGTGCTGGTGGTGGGCAGCGTCGGTGCAGGGCGGCGGGGCTGCACGCTGCGATGGGGGGGCGCCGGCCGCCGGCGTTTCTTCGCGACTCCCCGGGCCGGCCCTTTTGCTTGCGGCCGATCCGGCCCCCGGCGCAAACTCGGCGTGTCGAGGGCGAAGCCCTTAGCATAACACCAAAGTTTCGACCGGCGGATCAGACGATCGAAATGTTCCTGGCGGAGATCGCCGGGCGCGGCCGGAGCAACGTTGGCCGTCGAGGGGCTGGCGGCTAGGGCCTCGGGGGCGGCCTGTGGGGCGTTTCCACCGACTGCGGCCGTTTGGCCCGGCGGGGGCGGCTCCGGCGCGACCCCGGGACCCGCAGGCTCCGCGGAGAGGCCCGCAGGTGGCGGAGGAGACCGGGAACCCGGCTCCCGACGCGGGCTGCCGGCGGGCCCAGGCTGGGAGTAGAGACCCGAGGCCGGCCTAGGTGGAGCCGAGGCGGAGCTGGTCGGAGATTCCCGAGGGCGCCGGGGCGCCGGGCAGCGGCCGGGAGGTACGCCTGAGCGAGCGCCGAAGTGCGGGAAACTGCCTCCGCCCTCTTCCTCCTCACTGCGGCCCCGGCACACTGCGGCGTCGGCATCCTGACCGGCCGGAGAGTCCGGATCGCTGGACCGCCCGGCTTGTCCCGCGAGGTGCTTCAGGCCATCTGGGACCCAGCCGCCGGTGCACGGCGGGAAGCGAGGGCCCAGCAGTACCGGGGCCCGAGGCGCCAGCTCCCCAGGCCCCAGGCCCAGAGAGGACGCCTTGGGTTTGGCAAGGGCGCAGAAGGCAAGGGCACGCAGGCACAGCGGAGAGAACTCCTGGGTCCCCCGACGCAGCTTCCGGGGTGTGGGAGAGCAAGGCGACCCTCGCGGGGATGCCGGCACTGCAAGACGGGGAGCGGGACACAGAGTCTCCATGGAACCGCCCGGGGGGTTGCCCTTTGCGGGGACCCCGATCCCAGGGGCGGGATGCCCTGGCTGCCCGAAGAGCCCACAGGCGAGGGGCACATCGCCCCCCCCCCTCGACGGGGAGGTCTCTGCTCACGGGCGCCCCCGGCCCGCAGCCCTGGGCCGCGGAGCTCTGGCTCGCTCCTGGATCTCGTCACGCGGCCCTCACGGTGGCCGGACTCCTGGGTCCCTGTGAGTCCCGGTGCGGTCGGCCGCCCTTCCTGCCGCCGCGGTCCCTGCGCAGCCCCGGCGGGAACCCTCTCGAGTAGCCGGGAGCGCAGAGGCTGGGGAAACAAAGCGGCAGGCGGCCGCGGGAGGCGGGAAGGACCCCGGGCCCGGCACCCGGTGCCCGGGCCCAGGCGGCGGGGAGGGCGCCTTCCGCCAGCTCGGCTTCTTTCTTCCCCGCTGGCTCCCGGAGACCGCGTTATAGAGAACTGCCCCCTCGCTGCCCCAATACCAGCGCCGGGGCCGCGAGCCCGCCGCTGATTGGACAGCATTGCCTGTGACGTTAGCCAGAACCCCACCCCTCTGGCGGCACCGCCCCCGTCCCCATTCCGCACACAGACACACACACGTGGACCCGGCGCGGCGGCGGCTGGGAGGTAGGAGAGGAGGCAGCGTGTGTGTGTGTGTGTGTGGGATCGTGAGGGGCGAAATGTGCCGCTGCACATGGCCCGGTGGCTTCCCGGTATTTAGTCGTTGCAAAGCAATTCATTTTTCGCTTTGCAGTCTCGGTGTTCGCATCTGTAAAATGGAAATGTCCGTATCTACCCTCCCGGGTTTTCAGTGAATCAACGTAGATGAATTCCAAAACAATGTAAGGAAAGAGATGAAACGAGGCTTTAGTTGTTCACAAGCTTTGCCCAGCAGGGACTCCCGCGGGCTGAGAATGTTTCCTATCTCTCTATTCCTGTCTCCTAGAACAGTGGCTGGCACACAGTGGGTTCAGAAAGTGTTGAATGAGTAGTTAGGAATTCAGTGTGCACCTCCAGGGACTGGCCCCAGCCCTACAGCCCAATGATAATTTCCATAGCACTGACTGCTTTCCAGTCTCTGTTCTAAGAACTTTATGTTATTTGTTCCCCATAACAATTCTAGGTGATAGATACAATTGTTTCAAACTTTATGTACCATACCCAACCCACTTTAAGTGCTAAGTAAACAAGTGTGTACAAGATAAACAAATGAAAAAATAAGTTCCGAGAGGGGAAGCGTTATTACAAGGCTGTGCTGCTAAATGAGTTGAGGAGGTGACCGGAGGGGACACACAGTGAATTCCCCAAAAACTGGAGGACCACCTCCCCACAGCACGTTCTATCTATCCCCTTACCTTTCTTTAGTTTCTACATAGCTTACTGATATAGGAATGTCTGTGAATGTATTTTTTCTATATTGTCTGTCTCTCCCATTAATCTGGAATGAGCTGAGGAGAACTTTTTCTTAATCACTACTGCATCTCCACTGCCCAGAACAGTGCCCAGATGTAATAGGTGCTCAATAAATATTTGTAGGTGAATTAATTAGTCCCCAGAGAACTGCTGTCTTGATAAAATCAGGTTATTGGGATATGGCTGCCTCCTATCCCCAGAAATATGATGGCTTGGAGTAAGGGGGATGGGAACTGGGTAGGGGTGGGGTTGGGGGTGGTCACAGAGAGAAATATCTCATTCTGGGGCAGGGTAAGAGAGGGTGTCTGTAAGGGGACAAATGATGCAACTTGCATCCTGGCCCTCCTGGCAGTGACAACAGAAGCATTGCTTTCCTAAGTGTCATCAAATAACATTTAGGAGGAAAGGGGTCAGGAAGATCTGCCTCTCCTACCTCTCTTTTGCAGAGGCCAGAGGTAAAAGCACCCAGGTAGGGCTAGAGTTTGAGGAATGAGGGGGTGTGGCATTCTGTTGCTCAAAACACTCACCCCCTAGCATCTTCTGTAGAAATCTTCAGGGCAATTGCTTGAGGGGAGATCCTGGCATCCTGCCAGGTCTAGACAGCAGGGTTCCTGAGTGCTCCAAAAGCCGTGGCCACTCTCTCCACCCTCCAATTCCCCCCCAACACATACACACACGGGAGGAAAGTTCTAGAACGATGATGATCCTTATAGCGGTCAGTGCTGAGAACTCTTACCCTGAGACAGCAGTGCCAGATTTCTTTTGCCTGTGGGGGCAGAAGGGCATCTGTTTCAGCCTGGTGTCCTCCAGCCTCTTGGCAGGTGAGATGCCTCGGGAGGAGACTTGGGCTCCACCTGCAGGAACCTGGACTGGAAAAATCCTTTTATCCCCTAAAGTCTCATTCATAGTTGCATCCTGTGCCTAGCACAGTGTTGACACAATGGGAGAACACTCAAAAACTTTTCAGTATAAATAATGAATGCTACATAACAATGCCAGTGGCCTCCTTTTCCCACTCCAAAAGCCACCAGTCCCCCAACTCTGAGTTTAGGGGCTTTCATTACTATTGAGAATCCTTTCTGGAGGAGGAATTCTCTCCACCTCCACTTTCCCTTCTCCTTTCTTGAATTAGGTGCCCCACAATATAGCCCAGATGGGAAAGCCCTTGGTGGTCTTGGAAGCACTTTACAAACAGTAGGGGCTGGTGTTAGTAACTCTCCAGCGGAAAGGACCTGGAGTCCTCCAGCCTCCATTTTCAGAGGGCTTGGACTGGGGGGTGCCAGCTGTGCTAGCCACAGCTGGGCACGTCCCCTAGACATTCTGAGGCTCAATGTCCCTATCAGTGAAGAGAGGGTCAACAGCAGCTTCCTGGAAACATTGTCAGTAGGGTAGAAAATGAGCTTGCTGGCCCAGCTGTTGCAATTCCCATTGCCTACAGTAGAGGACACTCGACCCCATCTTCAGCTGTGGGATGAGAAGGCAACACCCTTCTCGGGAACCCTTCTTCCCCAGAAGAGAAAAGAGGGACAGGCTGGATGCTGGGTCGTATTCAGAGTAAGGGAAGGGAAGGGCCCCAAGGGACCTGGAAGCCAGCCCTTCCTCTTCCGTGGCTCCCATAGGTCTCACACAAAGGCGTGCCGCGTTCAACGATTTGGAAGCAGGGACCTTGCCCAACTGCCCTTTCCCCAGAGCAAGGCACCTCCAGGGACTGGCCCCAGCCCTACAGCCCAATGATAATTTCCATAGCACTGACTGCTTTCCAGTCTCTGTTCTAAGAACTTTATGTTATTTGTTCCCCATAACAATTCTAGGTGATAGATACAATTGTTTCAAACTTTATGTACCATACCCAACCCACTTTAAGTGCTAAGTAATTTTTATTAAATTTATAGTTATACAACCATCACCACAACCCAACTTTAGACCATTTCTGAACAGATCCCTCACCTCCACTTGCAGTAACTCCTGTTCCTACCTCCAGCCCCTGGTAACTAATCTCCTTTCTGTGTCTATAGGTCTGCCCTTCCTGAACATTTCACAGAAATGGAATCATACCATTAAGTGGTCTTTTGCATCTGACTTCTTTCACAAAAGCATAATGTTTGTCAGATAGTTTATCCATGCTGTAGCATGTATTAGCAGTCTGTTCCTTCTATTGCTCTGTAGTACCCCACAGTATGAATATACCACATTTTGTTTATCCCATCATATTCGGGTTGTTTCCACTTTTCAGTTATGAATAGTATTGTCATGAATATTGGAATACAAGTTTTTGTGTGGACATTTATGTTGAGTTGAATTGCCACTTCACATGGCAAATTTATGTTTACCTTTTTAAAAAGCTGCCAAACTGTTTTCCATATTGATTATACCATTTTTCATTCCTATTAACATCCATGTTATAGGTGAGGAAAGTGAGTGACAGAGATTTTAAGTGACTTGCCCATGGTGACACTGCTAGCCAAGTGTCAGAGCCAGGATTCAAACTTGGGCAGCCAGGTCCCAAGCCCACAGTCATAACCATGTCTACCCCACAGCAAAGAATACAAGAAAGAGGCCATTTCCTGCCCCACCACACTGTTGCCACTACCATTTTTGCCCATCTTGCTTCCAGAACTCCCTAAGTCGGACTCTGTTCCAACCCATTTGGGCTGCTTCACCCCCTAGCCATACCCTCACTTTGCTCCACCCCTCTGGAAATTTGCACCCATGGTTATTAGCTGAAGTTCTGGACTCAAATGGGTCTGTTTAGATTCTACTCTCCTCATTTTATGTGATTTGGGGTCAAGTTACTTAATCTGTAAAATAGAAATAGCATCCTCCTTCATACAATCAAACACGTGTTTTGTTATGGAAAATTTCAAACCTGCACAAAAGTAAACAGAGTAGTATAATGAACCTCCACCTACCCAGTACTCAGCTTTGACACTTATCAACACTTCACCCATCTTCTTTCATCCTTACCAATACCTACTTCTTCCCCTACTCCAATTATTTTAAAAACCAACTTTACTGAGGTATGATGTACATACAATAAATGCAAGTTTAAGTGTACAGTTCAAGTAGTTTTCACAAATGAATACACCCAGGTAACCTCCACAATTAAGATATAGAACATACTCCATATTATCTTGAAGCAAATCCCAGACATAAATTCCTAAATATTTCAATACATATTTTTATAAGATAAGGACTCTTCAAAAATAAACACAATCCCAACACTATTATTAAACCTAAAAAGAATTAACCATCATCCTTTAACCATCAAAAAGCCAATCAGCATTCAAATTTCTAATCATAATTTTTTTCTTTACTGTTTGTTTAGTTTATTTGAATTAGGATGCACAGAAGGCTTTCAAGTGATTAATATGCCTCTTAACTCTTTTTTAATCACTTAATTCCTCCTTTATGTCTTTATTTTCTCCTTGCAACTTATTCATTGAAGATACCAGACTGTCCTCTAGATTTTCCAGTCTGGAATTTACTGTTTGCAACCCCCTGGTGTCATTTAATCAAGCCACATTTATTCAACAGCATTTATTAAGCATCTAATATGTACAGGATTGCCAAATTCAGCACCAAGAAAAATACGCAATGTATTTATACTAAAAA